TAGTTTGACACCCAGACATACCTCCTTAAATAATACTTAATCTTCAAATAAACACAAGGCTAAACTTGGTGACCCGATTGTTAATGATTTTACAGATCACAGCCTGAAGAATTTCATGTTCCTTATATCTTCAAGGTCTCAACTACACCTTTGAATTTATGCCCACATCCTCTCTTGGGTTCATCTTGCCTGGTTTTCCAGTTCTTCCTTTGAAATATGGAGGGAAGCTTTTGTGATCCTACAACTCTTGCATTATACATACTGTACCTGAAAAATCAGCATTACATAGGTTATACCTGTGTCTCCTAGAGCTCAAATAGTAGCTAAATCCCCTTAGACCACAGCTGTCAAGGCCACTGAGTCTTTGGCATGCTCGGCATGGTTAAATTAATTATGAGACAACAAATCCCTAGGTGACCCTTCTTGAACAGGGGTCTTAAGTGTTCACTCTTTTTCCATCCTTCAACCTGAGAATAATTGTGCCTTTCAGGTTCTGAGGATGCCCTCAAGGTAACCTTCTCCTTGTTCAAGAAGGGTCACCTCATTTTGTTGTGTAAGTGGTGTGAATCTCTACAGCGACCATATCACCTTTACATGTGGTTTCTTTAAGGCCAAAATTTAAGTTTTATAAATATTTATGCTTTAAAAACTGCTTTTTGCTCTTGATTATCATTATATATCTGTCTAAAGCAGGCATCACTGAACATTGGTGTGACTTTAAATTTGTCCATCAGATCAGCTAGTCCACTTCCCTTAAACTAACCAACCTACAGAATCTCAGGGCATGGGGATATTACCAAATTTTCTGTCAGACTATAACATGACTGGCCTCTAGGCCAGCTCCCCATGTAGTCTTCATTCATAAGTGAAACCTCATCAACCTGGCATTTACTGTTGTCATTCTTACCAACATTCTAGAATTTTGAGCTCTGACCAGAATTCCCCATCCAGCTCTACTTACAATATTCTTGGGATTCTGTATCTAGCATCTGCACGCTTTTCCAAAGTCCTCCCATAAACTAATTTCAAAGGCTTCTGAGCTGCAGGAGCAACAGTGATTCTGCTCCTGATACCAATATTCTAGATTGGTGAGCTTTCTCATCTTTGGGGTCCAATATTCAGCATCCATGCTTTAAAGGAGGAGAAGTTTAATTTATTTTATGGATTTAGTTCATATGATTATGAGCCCATGATCATCTGTCTGCGTAACAAAAATTTCATGGCAGAAGGGTGTGTTAGAACAAAGGTGCTCTTTTCATGGTGCTCATTTCAGGAAGCAGAGAATATGAACCATGCCACAAAGGAAGGGGCCATGACCTGCAAAAATATACAAACTCTTTCTTTCTTGGGTTGCTCTCAAGCCAATCAAGTTCAAAATATAGCTTAACTGTCCCAGTCCTGGTATCTTGAAAAGCAGAATCCTGGTGATAGAAAAACAACAACTTCCTCCAGTTCTTGAGCAAATTCCATCTGCTTTGCACTGTACTTTGCGGTTAATGTTGGTAATTTTAATTTAACTTTCACAGCATGAGTGCTATCAATATTAATCACTACTGCTTTGCTTGTGAGCAAATGGAGACAAAGAGAGGAAAAAGGAGTTGCTGTAGGTCACACAATTAATAAATTGAGAATAAGGATTTGGACTATGGTTTCAAATAGCCCATTGACTTACAAACTTGCATGGGAATGTAGTGGTGACCTAGCTTCTTCTTTTAATTTTGACACTAACAAGTAATACCACATACCTTACAGGTCCCCTGAATATCAGAGTCCTTTCCTTTCAAATGCTGGACGCATTGTTGGTTGAACACAGGCAAGCCAGGAGAATGAATCCATCCACCACTTTCAGAGCAAGCTACAACAGTTTAATTTGATATTTTATGAGATGTTCACAGCAAACTTGTATTGATCTTCATTCCCCAAAGAGTTTTTAAGTGTGAAAGACATAGTACTTCTTTGCTGTTTTTTGTTTTTTAAAATTAATTTTTCATACCATATAATACTCAAGTAGGCAATAAAAACTTTTCTTACTTCAAGTAAATTCCATTTAAAAATATATATTTAGATTTATTGTAAATACCACCAGCCTCAGACAAAGTGATTAACTAATAGGCTCATGAATTTGTACACTCAGCTTATTGTTTAATATAACCTATAAAATTTGGGTATATTTTTCATTCACTTTTTAATTATTTCCTTTAGCTGCTATAGAACTATTCAGAAGAGTAAATCTGTCTATGTAAATACCATATGATAGACAAATCTGTACTGTAACATATGAAAAAGGTGAAATTTTTAAGGTGAAGAATTCTTTGCCTAGTTGGTACCTAAGTACCCTTAGACAGGGCATTTGATTTCACAGCCTCAGTTTCACTTTTTGTTTTTGTATGAAAACATTAAGATCCATCAGATTTCTCCATACCAAGGGCCAATACTACCTTTATTTAAAAGTAAGTGAATCATAAATCACAGTAGATGCCTTCAATCTGTCTTGATGAAGCTGTACATCTTGTAGGATGGGTTTATATTGTTCGGGTCTTTAATAATTTGTTCATGGTGACAAGGCTATCAACAAAGTTTATATAAACTAAACATTTACATAACAGTAACTATATGCCAAACACTTTTACATTCCTTACAAATGTTCTTATTTTATCCTCAGACACTGTTTTGACTGATATCTGTATATTCATACAATGTCACAAACATTTCATGCTTTTCTCTTTAAACCTCCTGTTATTAATTCTAACTAAGGGTTGAGTAAATGAAGAACACATATACACAGTGAAACATCATCACCCAGTCTCCTAACCAGGTCTGCAGGATCTAGATGAAATGCTGTTTCATTTGAGCAATTAAAAAAGTCAAATTAGAAACTATCATGTTGAGTGACATTAACTGGATTCAGAAAGTTCCATATCTCATATTTTCCACTAATACGAGAAAATGCATAGAAATGAAAATGCATAAAATAATAAATAACTATTTGAAATAAAGGTGATACAGTGAGAACTAAGAGGTAGAATGCTGGAGATGGGGAAGGGATCAAGAGGGAGGGAGGCAAAAGGGAGAGGCTGTAAGGGTACTGAAATTGACTAAGATGTATATACTAACTGCCCACCTTACACCCCATTGCTTTGTAATACTAACATTGGGTAACAAAATATAAAAAAAAGAAAGTCAAACTGAGCTTTCTGCTTCCAAACTCCTGATGTCTTTTGATGTCACTTGAATCTTTATGCTATAAAACTTGTCTGCAATTTTTAACTTGCAGTGATAACCCTGCCCTCCTGTGTTATTAACTTCTATGCAAAACTATGCTTTAATTATCTTATTTGAAATGCCAGTCATCAGAGCTCACAGTATGTAATTTTTGGAACAAGTGTTTTGGCATACATTTATGTATATATATTTTGGACTTTCGTATGAATATTACCAAGGTAAAAACTGTAAATCTTTTTTATGCATTGGTTAAGTGTACTAAGGATATGGTGTTTGCATTTTAACCTATATCTTATCCACCAGCAGAGGCAAAGGAGCCCATAATTAATGCTGAAGCAAGAATGTCAAATCATCCAAGAGATATTAAGTGGGAAATAGCAATGTTGTGACAATTTCTGGGTACTTGGATTTGTATTCAACTAAGCAAATAATTTAGCTCCTTAAAGCCAAATTCATATTAATTATATGATGATGCCAGTAGTAGAGTGCAACCATGACATTTTTTTCAGGGCGGGCAATATTTTTGAACTACAGTTAAAAATTTAAAACATTTGTCTCCCACAATAAAAACAGTTCAAGGTTAATGCTTCTAATCACCTTCATTAATAATATTTTAAATTTATTTTGTAGTATGCTAACTTACTGGTTGGTTACTTAAGAATAAGAGACAATACAGTATTCTGGATGGAAGTGACTCAGAATTATTAGATCAAGAGTTTTTTATCTGAATAATCTGCAGAATAACTATGCAAGAATTCAAAACAATATTTTTTGAGGATTTGCCATGTAGTTATATACTGAGACTAAGGCAGAATGGTGAGAAAAAGCAAATTAGCTACTTGTCCTTATGGGCTTTATAGTCTAATGAGTGAGAGAGCAGATGGTAACCAGTTCTATGTGAATGGACGATTGCATGTTGTACTACCACAGAGCAGGGCAGGTTGCTATTCTATCCTGCTGTGAGCGCTGTGTACATGGGGAACGAACGAGATCTGGACAGGTCCGCAGAGTAGCCCTGGGATAGAACTGGGATAAATTTGAAAGCTTTGTTAAGTGGCTGGAGTTCATGTCTCTTCAGCAGCATTTTCTCATGGAGTCTTTTTCACCAGAGGAATAATTTAGGGGTAAACTAGGCATTTTCACTACAAAAACAGTGCATTATTTTTATTATCAAAATATTAGAAATAGCTTAATTATCTAAAACTAAGGACCAGTGTTAATTTCCTATCACCTTGTCTGAAATTCTGTATTGCTTGTATTGTTTTTGTGGTATTTTGTAAACGTCAGTGTGTTTGTTAATATATTTTTGTTCTTTTATCTTTAAAAGAAAGAAATTTATCGAACACTCAAAACTCCTATTTGAAATAAAAAGTATTCTGTGATACAAGATGGTTGGAGAAAAATAGTAGAATATAAAATAGCAAGCACTAGAAAAGGCTTTGCCTTCACCTGGATCTTACCCTTTCTAGTCACTCCATTTCTCTTATTTGATTTCAAATTTATCAATAATAATAGCCACAGTCATAGCTGCTAATACTAGCCATCATTTAGCACTTGCCAGACCAGTGCTTAACATTTCATCCGTGATTTCAATTGATTTTGTATAAAATGTGAAATGGGTACTGTTAAATTGATTTCTTTTTGTATTTGGAAAATCATACTTTGCCAAGTACAGATGCACATTCCCTTATGCCTCAAGGAGAGGTTCAGTGCTCATGTGGTTTTCCATGAATTTCCTTACAGTTTTTTATCTAAGCAAAATCATTCTTTTTCGACAGCGTTCTGTGAAGAGGGCTGCAGATACGGTGGAACATGTGTGGCTCCTAACAAATGTGCCTGTCCGTCTGGATTCACAGGAAGCCACTGTGAGAAAGGTAATCCAGCCCGTTTCTTTCAGGGTGGGGAGAATGATGTGGAGAGAATTCCCTACATCACTGTGGAATGATGTGGAAAGAGCCCTTTTCAGGCAAAGACCGGTTTCTGTAATGCAGTACATTTGCTGGTGAAGGTGGCTCTCTCACAGAGGCTACCTTTTGATTACTCCATAATAGGCTTCCTCTCCCTGAAAATAGGGCTTCATTTGCCCTCCCTTCAATGCATTTAATTTAGCAAAGTCAAGTCTTTCCTCTGCTATAGTTTGCACTGTGGCTTTTTAGTGCTAATTAGAGATAAAGCCTGATGAACTGACCTGCCCCACTTATCATCAACTGCATAGCGTCGTATGCGACTATTAGAGTTATAATAATCTGCTGCGTCAACAGAATCTAAATTAGTAGCACATGCTCCTTGCATAAAAGCACATTAAATAACTCTAGCGGCAGGTTTATTTGCATGCTTGGGATTTTAGTCTAATATTGGTTTATTAGGAACATTATCATTCATGGACCTGATAATATAAGCCAATTAGTATTAGTAAAATTTCATGATATGGATCTTTCAGTTTTCACTAAATGTGTTTATACTTGGCACTATTTAGGAAAATCCTTCTTTCTTGCTGATTGGAAAAGTCCAATCTATGTACAAATGAAATTTGGTGTTCATGCCAATGTGTATGTCAGGGCAAGCAAGGGGTTTATGGCATGTGAGAGTGAGTATTTGAATTTATTTTCCCGTGTATTTTATTAGCCCTGAATCACTGCATTGTGGGTTTTTTTTTTTTTTTTTTTTTTTTTTTTTTTTAGTTTTTATTTTTTTTTTTTTTTTTTTTTTTTTGTATAACACACGATGTTTCCTCAGGCATAGAAAATAGACACAAAATGCTGTGTCATCATTCCTATAACAGGTATTAAATTAAGGAGGGATTACCTTTATCTGATGTGGAAGGTGCCAACAAAGCTGTTGTTTCCTTTTTTTCATTTTTAAAAGTTTCTGAATTTAGATAATATGTTTTTTAAAAATTAGCTCATTTTTATACTCCACCCTGAATGATATATTATACCTAAGGTATATATCCTAATTCTAACTACATAAATTATTCAACAAGGAAATCAGTGAATGATATCTGCATCATGGTTATCATATTTGGGGATGTTATCGACAAACCAAATTCCATATATTAAAAATAGCTGATCAGTTTTTTCCTTAAAAAAAGATACTAAAATGTCAAATAGTACACCCAGGTAGCATGAGAGATTTACCACACAGATCTGAAGAATATTTGCCCAAAGCAAAGAAACTTAATGGTAACTTCACACATGCCCTTATTGCAATATATTTAATCTTAATTAGTTTTGCTAATTAAATGAGAAAAATAAAGATTATCTTGATCTCCTTTAGATCTACTATGATTGCCTGGACTGAATACACAGGAAGTGACAATGACAGAAGGGTCATGATGGAAATGCTAGTGATTATGGATAGTCATGTACTGGAACACCCTTTGTTGGGTGCTAATTATGCAATAGATTATTTCAAATAATTTTAATAACCAAGAACAAATGAAAGAGATACAATTTTTCCTCCCATTTTATGGATGGCAAACTAAAGCTTAAATAGATAATTGACTTCTGCAGTTATTAAAACTGAGGGTCAGACTCAAGTTACCTCACACAAATCCTGTATTCTCAAACTTTGCATGTATTTCTCAGTGGTAACACATGGAATTGTGGTTAAAACATCAACTCATGGGCCCCTTCTCCAGATTGGCCGAATCAGAATATTGGGGAGGTTGTTCCACACGTCTGCATTTTCACCAAGCTTCTCAAGTAATTGCAATATGTTACCATGACATCAATAAGGTTCTTATTCTTTTTGTATTATGAATAATTGGGAGGGGTGAGGCATTGCCACAGAATAGGTCCCATTGTCAGAGCCAATGCAGAAAATATTGATTCTGGTTTCTTACGCCTCGTGAATTTGTCCTTTGTCCTTTTTCTACCCAATAAGTGAACGATTGAATCAACATGTGCACTCTGGTCTATAATGTGGAACAGAAAACTATAAAGGAAAATATCAAGACCAGGAGTAGAAATAAATAGACAGGCTGCCTGTGGTTTTCTAAATAAATGTTAAAGTTAAGATGAATAATTCCCTATTCTTGAATGGCACTGTCATCATAAGGGAAAATATATTAAAATTACACAAGTTATCTCTGCATAATGATTTCTTCATCTGTGATGAAGTCATTCCAATATTCTAAAACTATCAGTTTTTCATGAAAAGGATAAAGTGCACACTTTTCCAATCAGCAGTGTTCACAGTACCTAGATGCATGACAGGTGAATGTTCAGTGAATGAACTGGTGCTGTGACTTGTTCTTTAGTAATAAACATTCAGGAAGTCTCTTTGCCAGTGAGTACTCACATTGGATGCCTTGAGATTCATAATGCTGAAAATCAGTGGTAAATGTAGTGAGAAATGTTGCCCTGATTAAACTAAATCTTTTATTTGATTTGTTTTAATTTTAGGACTATCAAAATGGCTCATGTGAATTATATAGAATCCATTTATAGTTAGTCGTAAATATATTCCCTTGGCTTTCTGAGTTATTCATGTTACTCATTGCTTTTGATATTTAGCTGTTCAGAATTCAAGTATATTTAATTAAAGTCATTAAAATTGATTGTTAAAGAAAATGTGCACCTAGAATATGGGAAAGTTAAAAACTCATGTTTGTGGCATGTAACGCAAGATGTGCGGCTCCTCATTTTTTCTCCATTGATAAAATTTTAGTGAATTTCAACTTTCCATAACTCCCCTAGGGGTAAGCACACACTGCCTCAGTGGCTTCTGGACAGTATGTTGCTTAGTTCTTCTCTTTATTATCTTTGTTTTTTCTCTGTGCCTGTGGCTTGGAATTGGTTACAGAGCTAACATGGAGATGTGTCAAGAATGAGGTTAGCAAGCTGGGGATTTAGCTTAGTGGCACAGCTCCTGCCTGGCAAGTACAAGGTTGTGAGTTCGACTCCTGGTACTGGAAGAAAAATAAAAACAAAAACAAAAACAAAAAACAAAGAATGAGATTAGTGAAGAATCATGACAACTGTACTTTAGGAAAGAAAGTGGAAGGGTCGAAGTTCTCTTCTCAACCTCCCCAAGAACAAAAGGGTAGGATTCTGTGCTGGCACAATGCAGAGATCTACAAAACAAAATGGAGAAACCACAGAGTTCTCTAATAGACTTTCCAAATATAAAAATCAGGGAGCCAAACTACATATGTTAACTGCCATAAAAGGAGATTTTCCTCTAAAATGCAACTGAGGCTATATTTTCCTGTTAGTATTACTACCCAAAAATCTGCAAGCAACATAAGTATACACTAAATACAAGGGGTAGAGCTACTTCCAGACCAGAATTCCTTAACCTACATGTCATTCTGGAACAGATGATTGCTTGTTATAGAGAACTGGGTTGTGCAGTGTAGGATATTTAGCTGTGTCACCGGAATTTGTCTACTAAGTGCCATTATCACCCCACTTCAGGTTAGAATAATCAGAAACATCTCCTGACTTTGTTAAATTCCTCTGCTAGGAAAAACTGTCCCCATTGAGAACTCCTAGCCCTGATGTAACAATTTTGTCTTTTTCAAAAGGATGTATACACAGGGTGATCAATAACGTCAGTGAATGTTTAGATTTTTCTTAACTTAGTGGTGTAAAAGACAGATTTCCCAGAATGACTAGATAAATGTGTCCAAAGCAAGGAGGAGTACTTAGAATATTTAGAGGGGAATTAATAGCAGAGTGACTTGTATTGTAATAAACATTCTTATTTAAACATTTACTGTATTTAAAATTTTTGATTATTGATCAAACATTTATGGTAATTGCTCTCAAATAAAAACATTATGATGTCACCTTATCCACTTTATTCACTGGATGTGATACTATGTGACTTCTGCATCTTTACCAAAGGCAAAAGGACCATGAGAAGTAAATGATTTGAATAGATTCATGATATCAAGGCTCAGTTTAATATAGATACTCATGAAAGAGGACTTCCAGAACTGTTTCAGAAAATGGCAAGAATGGTAGGATGAGTGCATTGGAAGTAAGAAGTATTTGAAGGAGGATTAATGGCAATGATGTCTTACTGTAATAGCTTTTTTTCAATTTCAGCTTCTGTGTTTAAATTACACTCTACCAGAATTGTGTAATTTTTAACATTAATCATCCTCTTTAACAAACTGCATAAAAGAAAATGCGAATTTAATTATAGAACTGGAAGTCATCTTACACAAGTACCTTTAAGTTGTCTGAAAAAAACTTAATTTTCACTGAAGGTGGACTTCTAATATTCAGCACACAATTTTCTAAGAGACTGGTGCAATACCAGCAAGTTAGGAGAGTAGCAAATTAATGAGCTAGCACTCAACATCCAAAGCTGCCGAGACTCATCTCCTGGGGAAATGAGCTCTGTCAAATTCCACACCACGACTGCAATCCAAATCATTTCCAACTTGGACCACTTCTATCGTCACAAAGCTGAAAATACTGAAACACTGACCATATTATTTTATCTATATGTACTATATAATGTATGATTACATAATATGAAATATAACATATAATGTAATCTGCTATATGATATATAATATATATTTAGTGCAAATATCTGTTTTATTTAAATATAAAAATTACTAGCACTTTCGTAGACAAAAGAAGATTTTAAGCATCTTTTGAGCTTTGTGGTTGTGCTTAGATTCAGTTGTAATTAAAAGATTCTTGATCACTGAAAAGCCAGGGATCGGCTGATGTCTGTTATGAGCTGTTGCACCCCCTTTCAGTCTTGAAAAGCAGATACATGTAGAAACTCAGCCTGCTTTGTGGCCGCCCTTCCTTACTGATTGAGGAAACAGGTGGATGTTCCAGCCGCACACAGGAAATACGGGATTCTAACCCTTGTTTTTCCTGAAGGAAGAAATGATATTGTGTAG